TTGAGGTGACCAGAATTTTTTAACATTTCAGGAGGACAAATTCTCCACATTGAAAACACAAACATTTTTTTATATTAATTTTAACACATAAATAACGAATAAATTAACAATTCAAAGTTTCTCTAAACACAAGTCAAACAAGTTAATGGTACAATGCGTTGCATAATCATAAGACCGCCACATATTAACAAGTTTTCCGACTTAAAAAAAAGGAGAAGGTTATCAATTCGTCAGAATATATTTTTTCTTGTATGTTAGCGCTTAAGGTGGTCCCAGACTGATTTGGTTTAGATCTGATCATTGGATCATGAAAGAATTAACGGTACTCCTAAATTTTTATATGAGAATTGAGGTCGGTTGTGTTTTTTGCTTAACAATTAATTGTTAAATCATTTACTGGTAATTGAATTAATTGCTTTATAATTATAATTTTGTACCAATGATAAAACCTCGTTCAGCAATATCATTAACATATTTAATACTTTTAATCGTCCCTAAGACAACCAATTTCAGGGTAATTTTTTAGAGAATTTAATGCCCTATAAGAATATGCATAGAAAAACGTTTATCTCTTTTTTTAACTTTTTTTTTAACGGGTCAAGAGTTGTAACATTTTTAACGAAAACAATTTATTTTACATGTTTTTTACATAGACAATTTCAAATGCCCACTGACGCTTTTTAAAATTTAAATAAAAATTTTTCCAAATGGGAGAATTTCCTTCTCAGTAAATAGGCCAGGCTAGTTATTTCGGATCACCCTAATATATATATATATATATACAAGAATAACTCGTTTACAGTAATAAGAATTAGTGGCACATTTCCCGGAAAACATCAAAAAAAAAGTCTGGATCCGCCGCTGGACCTGTGTTATTTTTGATTATGTACTTGGATGTGAAATAACACATTTTCTAATTTTTTAAGAATATTTGCGCTCCAATGCAACGAACATACTTGTTTTAAGCCATCTAACAAATGCTTTTATCAAGATGAAAAATCCCCACACACAAATTTTGCCACTGATAAAACTAGTATCGATACTTTTTCTTGGAAGTAGTATCGAAAAAAAATATCGGATCTAAAGCATCGATACCTACTCATATCGATACTTTTGGTTATGGAGGTATTCCTTATGAACTTAATGAGTTAAATTTTTTTATTTGATGACATAAGTTAACCATGTTTAATGATGAATGGTATTTGACATAGACAATTCACTGGAGAAAAATTACAAGAAAGTTAATCTCGTTTAAGAAAAAAATTTTCTCATAAAATATATATGAGAAAAAGTCTTCTTTTGTTGTACTTCCCACGAATATAGGCTTAAAAATTAGGAGCCAAAGATTTAAATACGATAGTAGTAAAAATGTCTCCTTTTTACTTCACCAGGTTGAATTCCACATACAATTGGAAGTGTGAAGAGTACAGAAACAAAATGATACGGATGAAATTTAACTAAAAGAACTCTTAAAAGCAAATTAAATATTAAAGATTTTTTAGTATCTAGATACCGCCAGCTGGAATAATTTTTCTATTTGACATCTACTTTTCTCCAGACTAAATGCGAAGATGGCGTTTAAATTTTCTGGAATATTTCAGTTTTCCAAGATTTTTTTTTTATCAACTCTCTGTTCCCTATTTTTTTTCTTCTTTGATTATATTATTTAATAACAGAGCTATACTCCCACTACCCTTCGTATCTATTTCCTTGCATTTTGCTCAAGGCCTTCACATGCTAACGCGCGTCAAACCCAGTGAGCTTAACGTCGCGTTGGAACGTCTGTACTGAACATTCATCCAGTCACTCTGCCACTCGAACAGTTGGGCCGTGTATACGTCGCATTACATCGACTTTGGTGAAGCAATCGGAGTTTGTATCCTTTGCACTATATCGACTTTGTCGCATTTGTTGGTTGCCAATTAAACAGCCTTAAAGAACAAGGCGCTTCATATTCGGAATAACAATAGAGGAAAAATGGTCTGTTAGATTTGATAGCCTTGTTTTAACTATAAGCAAGCAGTTTGATCTGTAATAATGTAATTTTATTGCAGGTATCGACTTAGCACATGCGCTTTTCGTGCTGAGAGAAAAAAGAACAAGACATAAACAATAGGAATGACAGTAGATTAGAATAACACAAAAGCAAAATGTTAAGGAGTTGCCATCGCACTTTTAGTGTAGTGATTGATTCTGAACATTCCCGCCCACCTCGTCCATTGTGGACGAAAAAAGGAGCTCACCGTGCGGCCGCCCACCATACGTCTCATCGGTGCCAGCTTCTATTGAAAGGATAACCAATTTTGAGATGGCTCGCTTGATCAAAGACGATTTGGTGCGAATTGTTGCCACCCTAACAATCCCATCATCACCAGCGTGCATTTCTTCAGTCCGGCCCAAGAGCCATTGAGTGGGGGGTGCGCGTTCATCGCGAATCAGAACCAGATCTCCAATTTTTAAATTAGACTTGGTTTGTTGCCATTTGTGACGCACTTGCAGTTCGTGTAGGTATTCCGCACTCCACCTTTTCCAAAAATCTTGCTGCATCTGTTGGAGTTGCTTCCATTTAGTGAGGCGGCTTGTCTTTATGTCGAGAAGGTTCGGCTCGGGCGTGGCGGCTAACGGGCCACCAACCAAAAAATGCCCAGGAGTTAGCGCCGTCAGATCCGAAGGGTCGTCGGAAAGAGAAGATATCGGCCTGGAATTTGAAACGGCCTCAATTTGCTTCAAGACAGTGTAAAATTCCTCAAAGGTCAGCATTGATTCACCTATGACTCGACGTAGATGGTGTTTCATGCTCTTTATGCCGGCCTCCCAAATACCCCCAAAATTTTGCGATCCTGGAGGTATAAAATGCCATGATACGTTGTGTAGTGCCACCGAACGAGCACCAGTCTCTATTTGAGCGCGAAAGGCGACAAAGTCTTCCCTCAGAACTGTGTTAGCACCGACAAAAGTTGTTGCACAGTCACTATAAATATCGGAGCTATAGCCGCGTTGGGAGAAAAAACGTCGAAGTGCTGCTAAGAACGCGTCGGTTGTCATATCACTGACCAATTCCAAATGTATAGCACGAGTGCTCAAGCATATGAATAGTGCCACATAACTTTTGAAGCTGCGGCTACCGCGGCCTTTGGTAGCTCGAACTTTAAACTGACCTCCGTAGTCCAGCCCGCAGTGCTTGAAAGGAGCAGCAGCATTGCACCGGTGTGTAGGTAGATTCCCCATTATCTGGTTGGAACCTACAGCTCTCTGTCGAAAACATTTAATGCACCGATGGATAAAGCTGTTTATGGCTGACCGAGCGTCGATTAGCCAGTATCGTCTGCGTAGAGCGCGCAGAGTTGCTTGTGTGCCGCCATGGAGCGTGGCTTCATGCGCCTGCGCGATAAGAAGCTTGCTAAGTTGACTGTCTTTTGGCAAGATGATAGGGAAGCGTTCATAGAAAGGTAAACTGGCGTTCTTCAGCCGTCCATTTAAGCGCAAAAGTCCATCATCATCCAGCACTGGGTTGAGCTTTAGGAGTTTGCTCTTTGCATTGAGTCCTCTTTTCTGCCGGAGACTGGAGATTTCATTAGAAAAATGTATGTTTTGAACGTACCTTATCCAATATTTCAACGCCTTAGCTCTCTCTGCAGCAGTGCAAAAGTCAGTGTTCTCATGGGGTCTTCTCAATGCTGCACATACAAAACGCTGGCACCAAGCAGTGACGGCTAGTAGCTTTTGGATACACGAGTATTTCTGAAGAATCCAGTCATCAGGCTTAGGAACCGATATTAGTGACACAATGCTAAGATCGTCGTTCCCAACCGCCTGGGTGCTTGTTGGTTCACCAACGATGCTTGCTGGCCAATAGCTTTCGTCCTTTTGTAGCCATGTGGGGCCCGTCCACCATATGCTAAGGTCTTCAAGTTGCGAAGGGTAAATGCCACGAGACGCGACATCAGCCGGATTGCATTTAGTGGGCACGTACCGCCACGCGTCTACATTTGTCATCTCCTGAATCTTTGCTATCCGGTTGGCAACATACTGCTTATGCTGTCCAGGATTGGACCGAATCCAGCTGATCACTGTCTTCGAATCACACCAGTACCATGTGTGAGTAGATTTAAGCTGCAGAGTTTCAAGAATTTTGCAGGTTAAAGTACTCGCAAGCACTGCTCCATTTAGTTCCAAACAGGGTATGGTTCGTTTCTTTAACGGTGCCACCTTGGTCTTCGCCATGATAATAGATACTTTTATTTCACCGTTCAACTGCGTCACCCGTAGATACGCGACGGCTGCGAAGGCTGCTGATGACGCGTCACAGAATACTTGCAGCTGAGCTTCTTCTATGTCGTCAGCTGTGAAAAGCCACCCCGGAATTTTTACGTTTTCTATCAGTGGCATCTCATCACGGAATTTTATCCATTCACTCTGGTAAGGTTCGGGAATCGGGTCATCCCACGTACATCCGGTATGCCAAAGAGCTTGGCACATACGCTTGCCAGTGATGATGATAGGAGCCAGCAAGCAAGCAGGATCATAAATTTTTGCAACGTCGGAAAGCTGCTGTCTTTTAGTGATTGCTACGGAAACTACGCTCACTTTTACCTTGTACCCAATATAGTCATCCTGGCATGACCAATAAATTCCCAGTGCTTTAGTGTCTTGGTCCGAATTAAGCGCACATATTTTATTGGCATTTGTTCCTTGAATTTTTTGAAGAAAATCTCCGGAATTGGAATTCCATTTTCGCAGTGTAAATCCGCCGCGCTGTAGTTAAGTCTGTAATTGCTGTTTGTAATTCAACTGCCTTATCAACAGAGCTAGCGCCGCTTAAACAGTCATCTACGTAAAAACATTCCTTTAAAACATCTGCTGCTTCTGGAAATTCTGTACCCTCATCTATCGCCAAAGTATGGAGAACTTTAATGGTTAAGTAAGGCGAACAGTTGAGTCCGTAAGTTACTGTAAGTAAGCGATATAGGCAAGGCTGGCCATGTTCATCTTTCCAAAAGATTCGTTGCATATCTGCGTCCTTATGGTCAACCAAGATTTGTCGGAAACATTTTTCGATGTCGGCCATAAATGCGATCTTGTGCCATCGCCACTTCAATATAATTGCGGATAAATCGTTTTGGAGCTTTGGTCCAACAAGCAAGCAGTCGTTTAGTGACCAACCACATTTCGTTTTACGTGATGCGTTAAAAACGGTTCGTAGTTTTGTAGTTGAGCTTGAGCCTTTCTAAACACCGTGATGGGGAATATAGCAGACAGGCTGCGGCTCAAAGTCCTCGCAAACAGGTTGCATGTGACCGAGTTGGAGATATTCGGACATAAACTCATCATAGAGTGTTTTAAAATAAATATCATTGTTCAGGCGTTTGTTTTGATAATGATAAAGTTTTTCAGTATCATATTTAGTATCTGCAAGCACAGACAAGTCAGCGGATGGTTTAAATGGGTAGCGTACTATATAGCGACCGGATCCGGTCCGGCGAGTTGTACGTTCGAAGAAGTATTCGCAGTAAATCTCATCAAGAGTGAGTTTAGANACACAGACAAGTCAGCTGATGGTTTAAATGGGTAGCGTACTATATAGCTACCGGATCCGGTCCGGCGAGTTGTACGTTCGAAGAAGTCTTCTCAGTAAATCTCATCAAGAGTGAGTTTAGATGACGATTCGCCATCTTCACACGCGTTAAAAGCCCAAAGAGCTTTAACTAACTCGTTGAGCTCGATTGCTGTTGCCGCACAAAAGCTTGTGCGTAGTGGGGCGATATATTCAGTACAACGTCCATGAATGACCCAACCTAAGTGTGTATGCTGTGCCACGGAGGCGCTCGTGAATGACTGCTTCAGTTCACCGCAGAGCAAGTGTCCGTAAATGTCAGCTCCTAAAATTACGTCTATCGGACCAGGCTCATAGAATCTAGGATCTGCAAGATTCAGATTCAAAAGGTCAGTAAAAAGCGTAGGATCCAAGCGAGCGCCTGGTAACTGTTGACTTAAACGTGGTAAAACTAACGCTGTACACCCAATGTTGAAACCTGGGTCGCAGATAGAGCTAACGTCGAATTCCACTAAGCCTGAAGAGACTGCAGCATTTGTACCTCCTATTCCAGTTACTGGGACCTGCAAGCGTCTACGTTTAAGGTGTAATTGTTGCACCGCAAACTCCGTAATAAAAGACGCCTGAGATCCGCTGTCCAAAAGTGCTCTGAGTTGTAGACAGTAGCCATTTTCTGAACGTACATTTATCTGAGCTGTAGCGAGCACTACATGGTTCTGTGATGTTGTTATTGTTGTGTCTTCATCGTAGGCACGAGCGTGGTGCGTTGCAATACTGATCGGATGCATGCCGTCATGTAACATAGTATGGTGTTTTTGATTACATTTTTGGCAGGTATATGCAGATGTACATTTGTTAAACCAATGACCAGCCTTTAGGCAATTCTGGAACAATTTATTCTTTTGAACGAAGTTTAGCTTAAGTGCTGGTGAAAGTTTTCGGAATTCGGGGCAAAACATAAGAATGTGTTTACCTAAACAACTGCTGCATCGAGTGACGCCGCTAAGATGGCTGCGCACGGGTAGTGCTTGAGTTACCTTAGGTCCAAAATCCTTTTGGTTTTGCTTTGGGGTTGCGCCCATGACTCAAGGCCATGTACACGACTCTCCAGAAACTTCACAAGCTCATTGTAAGTTGGAATATGATTTGGCGATTCGAGTGAGATTTCCCAATCTCTGACAGTGCTGGGATCAAGTTTTTCAGTCACTAAAAACACCAGCCAGTCATTCCATTTAGACGTTGGACACTCCAAATGCTCAAGCGCCCGAATGGCTTCAGAAACGCCGTTCAAAATTTTACGAATTGATGCAGCCGATTCGGTTTGAGAGTAAGGAATATTAAGGATTTCTTTTAAGTACATCTTCACTAATCGCCTTTTGCTATCGTAGCGCTGGCATAAAGTATCCCATGCAATGAAGAAGTTGCTGTCAATCACAGAGATATTCTTCAGCAGAGTTTCTGCTTCGCCATTCGTACTGATCTTTAGGTAATGCAAGCGCTGCTCATTCGACAAGGACTTGTCACCAATTACCAACGTCGTGAACATGTCTTTAAATTGCAACCAGCCCTGCAGCTTGCCATCGAACTTAGGGAGTTCAATTTTAGGCAAAATTGATATAGCGCACGCTGAGGAGTGCGGAAGTCGAACGGATGTCGTATCATGCCCAGCGATAGACAACTGCTCGATGGAGTCGTTAAGTTCACCGACAGCTTCGCAATAAGCAGTTTCTATTGCATCGAAATGACCATCTGCTAGCACATTTGTCAACTGATTCTCGCTTTCCTCAGTAGGCTCGATATTGCGAACTTCATCATAATTCGCACTGTATTTGGCCCAGTAGTCTTCCAGCAAGTGCTTTGTCTTGCATACCTTATTGGTGTTAATGGAAAAGTTTTGTATATATTTAGCTAGGGCTTCTTCTTTCTTGAGCGCCATAACTGCCTGCCTCGGTGTGAGGTTATGTAGAATCTTGAGGCCGGAGAATCCCGATTCGAGTATATTATGTATTACTCTGGCCCCCGTAAGGGATGCCAAATTTAATGTTAGATTTGATAGCCTTGTTTAATCAATTAACAAGCAGTTTGATCTGTAATAATGTAATTTTATTGCAGGTATCGACTTAGCACATGTGCTTTTCGTGCTGAGAGAAAAAAGAACAAGACATAAGCAATAGGAGTGACAGTAGATTAGAATAACACAAAAGCAAAATGTTAAGGAGTTGCCATCGCACTTTTAGTGTAGTGATTGATTCTGAACATGGCCGAAGCCAAATTTGCCTTAGTATCGGGTTTCTTTACGAGTATTTGTTTCCCGATACCTACTCGGCACTTAGTTCAAAAGTATCGATGCCAAAATTACTTGGTATCGATCGAAAAGTATCGAGTATGTACATATATTTACTCGCATCTTTTCATCCCTATTTTAGGTAATTCAGATCCAATTACGCTGCCGTTTCTAATTTTAATCGGAAATTTATAGAACTCAGCTCTCAAAGCAAGAGAGAATAGGAAAAATCAAAACAAAGCAAGGGGGGAAATGAAGGAAAAAACGCAATGAGTTGTCAAATCGAATTAGGAATGAGTCGTGTAAACGGGGTAATTCACCAAAGTAATTCAGAAGCGAACTACGTAACTGGCAGTGATCGTGGGGACATAGTATTACCCCTTTTCCACGTTCATATTCTTAATTCGATTTGACAGTTCCCTATCTTTGTGTTTTGTTTTTTTTTTCTTCGCTACACATTGCTAAAAATTTATAAGTTTCCGTATTAAACTGGTGACGTATACATGTATAAACTTTACTTTCCGTACTCAGAAAAAGTACCAGTTTTGATTTATGTACTGGTGTCGATAAATTTCCGATAAAAATCAGAGACGGCAGCGATTTGTTCGTAATTTTCAGAGTAATTGGATCTGAATTACAAACAAATGAGGTAATTCGCTCTCAAAATTTAGTGTGACGAAGTACGTAATTGGAAGGGTAATTGGGGTGCGAATTACGAATGAGAGAGCGAACTACGTAATTGGGGTGCCGTGAGAAAGCCATATTAAATATGGCTAAAATGCGTTTACATTGTTCAACTCCCACAGGCGGTTAGTCGAATCAAAAGTTTACATCATTTAACTGAAAGTTAAAAAATGTAANGCCGAAGCCAAATTTGCCTTAGTATCGGGTTTCTTTACGAGTATTTGTTTCCCGATACCTACTCGGCACTTAGTTCAAAAGTATCGATGCCAAAATTACTTGGTATCGATCGAAAAGTATCGAGTATGTACATATATTTACTCGCATCTTTTCATCCCTATTTTAGGTAATTCAGATCCAATTACGCTGCCGTTTCTAATTTTAATCGGAAATTTATAGAACTCAGCTCTCAAAGCAAGAGAGAATAGGAAAAATCAAAACAAAGCAAGGGGGGAAATGAAGGAAAAAACGCAATGAGTTGTCAAATCGAATTAGGAATGAGTCGTGTAAACGGGGTAATTCACCAAAGTAATTCAGAAGCGAACTACGTAACTGGCAGTGATCGTGGGGACATAGTATTACCCCTTTTCCACGTTCATATTCTTAATTCGATTTGACAGTTCCCTATCTTTGTGTTTTGTTTTTTTTTTCTTCGCTACACATTGCTAAAAATTTATAAGTTTCCGTATTAAACTGGTGACGTATACATGTATAAACTTTACTTTCCGTACTCAGAAAAAGTACCAGTTTTGATTTATGTACTGGTGTCGATAAATTTCCGATAAAAATCAGAGACGGCAGCGATTTGTTCGTAATTTTCAGAGTAATTGGATCTGAATTACAAACAAATGAGGTAATTCGCTCTCAAAATTTAGTGTGACGAAGTACGTAATTGGAAGGGTAATTGGGGTGCGAATTACGAATGAGAGAGCGAACTACGTAATTGGGGTGCCGTGAGAAAGCCATATTAAATATGGCTAAAATGCGTTTACATTGTTCAACTCCCACAGGCGGTTAGTCGAATCAAAAGTTTACATCATTTAACTGAAAGTTAAAAAATGTAAACTCCTTTTAAATGCAATGGTTGTGTACGATTAGGCTATAATAATATTCTGAACGAAATTTTTAAAAATTTCATCACTGCTATAAAACTTGAACTCCTTGGACAAAGAGGACATTTTTGCTCAAAAAGAGGACAGAGAAGGACAATATTTTTGAGGAGGACAAATCACGTTTGAGGAGGACAATNAGGGGGGAAATGAAGGAAAAAACGCAATGAGTTGTCAAATCGAATTAGGAATGAGTCGTGTAAACGGGGTAATTCACCAAAGTAATTCAGAAGCGAACTACGTAACTGGCAGTGATCGTGGGGACATAGTATTACCCCTTTTCCACGTTCATATTCTTAATTCGATTTGACAGTTCCCTATCTTTGTGTTTTGTTTTTTTTTTCTTCGCTACACATTGCTAAAAATTTATAAGTTTCCGTATTAAACTGGTGACGTATACATGTATAAACTTTACTTTCCGTACTCAGAAAAAGTACCAGTTTTGATTTATGTACTGGTGTCGATAAATTTCCGATAAAAATCAG